GCCCTGGACACCCCTGGGGGCCCCTTTTCCCTGGGTAGGCACTGCTGGCCATAAAGTGGAAGGGGGGGCCCAGCCATGGCCGCGAGAGTGGCGTCCTAGGAGGCGCAAACCTAACATGTGAACACTCTTCCATCCTCCTCCCTCCCTCCGGCCCCCCCTCTGGCGGCGCCCCATCGCACCTCGTCGCCTGCTCAGGTACAGCCAGATCGGGAAGGACGCGTTCCGCAGCATCCTGGTGAACCTGCTGACGGGATTCAACAATACACAGGCGCAGCCAGGCCAGGCCACTCTACTCACGATTGTCGATTTTGGCGCTGATGTAGGCCACATGCTGGAAGCTTTCCTGGACATACGCCCCCAATTCTCTCACTTGCCACTCGTGCTGGTTCTCTTGTGTGACGACGATTCTCAGAGGGAGTGGCTGGTGCACAAGGCAGTGACGCTTGCGGGCGACAAATGGTTGAATGGGACCCTGAAGGACAAGCAGACCCCACCTTCCAAGGATTACAGGAGTGGGAGAAAGAATGAGAAAGAGTGCGAGGATGAAGATAATGTTATCTAGCATACCCCCCGATATAGCGTGGTCAGAAGCCTCCTCTTGGCTAGTTTTCCTGTGGAGGATATCTCAAGCCATCTTGGGGCGCCTCGGGGTCGTCTGCTTTCAGGTCTCTGGAGCCATCCCACAGTGATCTCAGACTCCCCTCGCCTCAGGGTCCTAGGGTATTTGAAGTGCCATCAGCCGTGCTGCTGACGTTGCTGTTGGTGCTGCTGCTGGTGCTTCCTCCGGCCCTTCGTTGTGCTTTCTTCGGCCCTCACTCTTGGAGCCCCAAGAGGAGCCCCAAGGGCCTACAACGTATACCCCCCGCAGGGGTCCTGGGAAGTATCTTTGCCCCTCCCCAAAGCCCTCTTGGGGGCCCAAGAGAGCCCCAAGAGGGCCCCAAAAGGGCTCCAATAGGGCCCCAAGAGGGCCCCAGGACGGCTCCAAGAGGGCCCCAAGAGCGGTCACGCGAGAAAGGTTTCGCGTGACCGCTCTTGGGGCCCTCTTGGAGCCCTCCTGGGGCTCTCTTGGGCGCCCAAGAGAGCCCCAAGAGGGCCCCAAAAGGGCTCCAATAGGGCCCCAAGAGGGCCCCAGGACGGCTCCAAGAGGGCCCCAAGAACGGTCACGCGAGAAAGGTTTCGCGTGACCGCTCTTGGGGCCCTCTTGGAGCCCTCTTGGGGCCCTCTTGGGGGCCCAAGAGAGCCCCAGGAGGGCCCCAAAAGGGCTCCAATAGTGCCCCAAGAGGGCCCCAAGACGGCTCCAAGAGGGCCCCAAGAGCGGTCACGCGAGAAAGGTTTCGCGTGACCGCTCTTGGGGCCCTCTTGGAGCCCTCTTGGGGTCCGCTTGGAGCCCTCTTGGGGCCCTCTTGGGGCCCTCTTTGGGCCCTCCTTCGGGCTCTCTCACGCCTTCGGGCACTCTCCCCAGGGACAGCGCAACCAGACAATATGGGAGTGCGCAGGGGGTTGGCACTTGCGCTCTGGCTGCCCCTGCCCTTGCGCTGGTCAGGAGATTCCGACCCACATGGCCACGCAGCCGCTGCAGAAGCCCCCCCTGAGCCTCATGGTGTGGGGCCTGGCCGAGAATGGCTCAGAGACCATCAAGATGCCACAAAGCACGCTTGCCAAATGGTACGCGCACGAGAAGCACGGGGAGGAGTTCAAGCAGATGTACCACAACCTGGAGACTGAATTCGGGGACCTCGCTGCGGGAAAGACTGCGCCTGGTGGCGCGGGAAAGAGGGGCGCTGGCGCCCCCGGCCCCAACCCCTCGCCCCACAAGAAGCCCAAGGTGGACATCCAGCTCGAGGTAGTCGATAATGCCGCCATGATGGGCGAGCTTCTGGCGGAATGCAAGATGCCCACCCTCCGGGGGTCGGCGAAGTTGGTGTTCCGCACAGCAGGTCACGTCTACATCACCAACGCTGGCGACCATGACCTAGAGATCTTGGAGAACACTGAGCTGGCCAGCTTCAGCCCAAAGAACGCGAAGTTCGACAAGGGCGAACCCGGTGAAAAAAAGAAAGACTTCAGCTTGCCATACGAACTGCGAGACGCAGACGTCTACGTGAAGGTAGAAGGCGAAGGCACGAAGACGCTGTACGACACTATCGAGGCAAAGCGAGCCTCAACACCAGACCAGGCGAAGGTGTGCTTCCATAACATGACTGAGAACCCAACAGAAGACAGGCCTGGCTACTTCACCCTGCAGCCAGTCACCGATGTGGCCAAGCGCATATTCTACCTCATCCCGCAGAAGGTCAACATCACATCAACCAAGAAAAAGGACGAGGACAAGAAGGATGCGATCGAGTTCTCGCAGAAGACCGCGGACCCGAGGGATTGCAAACAATGGTGCTGCTTTTGCTTTGGTCCTTGCGCCCCCTGCGCCCCTGTCCAACAATACGTGGCCCTGAGGCCACCTCCTTCCGTAGGGGCTGGGGGGTGGTGGGGACTTCTTTGGGATCCTCGCCTGGTAGGCCAAGATGTTTCGTCGGCGCTGGCGACGACGACGATGACGCCAACGACGACGCCGACGACGACAACGATGACGATGACGATGGCGCCAACGACGACGCTGACGACGACGACGACGACAATGCCGACGCTGACGACCGCTACGTCGAGTGCGTCGTCGCTGACGTTTCTGGGCTGTCGAGTTTAAGAGCTCTGGGGCGCTTCTCGTCGACGCAGCTGGATCCACCTCGAACGTGTATGGCAGAGGGGGGCGGCCTTCTCATTCCTCGCGCCAGGCGGGGGCGATCGCGCCCTGCAAGTGGAGGGATTCCTCGGCGTGCAGGATCCTGTGGAGCGTGAAGTATGCAGCGCGTGGCCTGGTTCCTGTGTGCCCAGTGGTCGTGGCCCCCTGCCTCATGAAGATCCCCAGGGGCCAAGCGCTCAAGCTCATGTAGAGCAAGGGCTGTGGTAGTAGCAGTGGCCACGAGCTGCAAGCAGCCATCAAGCAGTAGACTGGTGAGAACTTACGAGATGCCGCGAGAAGCCAGGACCAGTGGCCGCCATTGCCACCAGTAAATTTTTAGCCACCACTGCGCTGTGGAGGAGGAGGAGGAGGAGGAGGAGGCGGATGAGGAGGAGGAGGAGGAGGAGGAGGAGGAGGACACTACAGAGCGATTCTCGCGCGCCGGACACCGGACACCGGCCAGCCAGACACTGTTGACGCTTCGCGCATCCCCGCCAGCCCATCCAGAAACGACGCCCAGGCGAGTTGAGGTGACCAGGGAAGGGTGGGAACAATGAGGGGGCTTCTTGGAGCTGTCTTGGGGTGGTCTTGGGGCCTCTCGGAGCATTTTCAGAATCACCTTGAGGCATCTGAGGCTATCTCGAGGCATCTTGGAGGTTATCTTGGGCCCTCCGAGGCGCTCCTGGAACCGTGCACCCTCCCCGAAGGGGAAGAATGGGGTTGGAAGAGGAACTCCTTAATAAGCCACCTACGCCCAAAGGGCTGGTGAGATCTCGGCTGGGTGATATCACCTGCTGTTGCCCTACGTAGTTTTTTCTCCCCTCCCTACCTCCCTCCTGCGCAAAAGCGCAAGTCTTAACGCAACCATACCTCCTCCTCCTCCTCCTCCCCCCCCCTTCTGCGCGTCCTCCTGAAAGATGCTCTGAGTTCGACCGCCCGAGCTCAGCGCGATGAAGAACGCGCGACCAGGTCAGAGTTGCACTGCCGAAGGGATGGGGGAAGGGGAAGAGGGCGATGAGGAGGAGGAGGGCGAGGAGGAGGATGAGGAGGAGGAGGGGGAGGGGAGGAGGAGGAGGGGGAGGGGAGGAGGAGGAGACCGCCACCGCCCGAGACATTGTGCCGTCACAAGCCGCCGGGTTTCTGCCGTCACAACCCGCCGGGTTTCTGCCGGATCCTGGGGCGGGCGTCGCCGACGAGATCCTGGGGAGGTCGGGTGCTCGAAGTTGCGTTCGGAACCCGCCGGGATTCTGCCGGATCCTGGGGAGATCGGGCCCACAGCGCTGCGCCTGGCGAGGTTGGGTGCGCGACTGCTGTTCCCGACCTCGCCGGGCGCAGCTCAGCGGGCCCGATCGCCCCGGGATTCTGCCGGATCCTGGGGAGGTTGGGTGCGCGAAGTTGCGTTCGGACCTCTCCGGGTTTTGAAATGAGATGGGCGGGAAGGGCGGGGTCGAGGGGGGGCGACGAGGAGGCGCAGGATGGGGAGGAGGAGGAAGATGAGGGCGAGGAGAAGGGGGGAGGAGGAGGATGAGGAGACGCAGAAGGATACTGAGGAGGAGGAGGAGGGCGACGACGACGACGACGACGCCGACGACGACGACAGCCCACCCCTCCTCGGCCGCGCAGGCTGGCGCGGTGGGCGCCTGGGTGGGGCTTCAGCAGCTCCTGACGGGCCGGTGGAGGAGGCCACGCGCGCGCCGCGTGCGGGGGGGGCCCGACGAGAATGAGGAGGGAGGAGGGCAGCAGGAGCAAGCCGAGAATGAGGAGGGAAGAGGGCAGCAGGAGCAGGAGCAAGCCGAGAAGAAGGAGGGAATGATGGAAGGGGGACATGCGCAGGGGCATGGGCAGGAGCTCGCATGATGAACATGAAGCGCGAGGATGATCAGCAGCCGCACGCGTGAGCTATATCGGGGGGGGGCCCTGCCTGATGACATGGGTTTGGCCTGACTGCCTCGCCTGCCCCCTCGAGGAGCCATCCTGGGACGAGCTGGGGCGCGCGCTCAGGAGGGGGCTTTGTTGGGCCCACTCGTGGCACACTTGGGACCTCCCCAACCTTCCCCGGGGGCCTCCCTGGACCCCCCACACAAGAGAGCCCCTGTGAGCGCTACTAGGAGCCCGAAGAATTTGAGTTTCACCAGTGGCCCAATGGATGCTCAAGAGAGGCCCCCAGAGCCCAATAAGGCCTTGGAGTGCGTCACTTTCTACCCTTGTTAGCGTGGCTGTTTGGCGCAACTCAGTGTCTGCGACGCTTACTTGCCCTTCGCGCGCGATGTCGTCCATCCAGTCTGATGGCGCTGCTGGCGCCTCCATCGACCTGACGCCCCCCAAGAGCAGTGGCGACAGTGACGCAGCGAAGTTGTTGGACTCTGAGGACTCGTCTATGACGGACGTCAGCTCAATGGGTGACGGGATTGACGTCGAGGATCCAATGGAGGATGGTGGTGGATGCGCAGAGGACATGTGGGAGGACTCCCCCGAGCCCCGCGCCGGCGCGCTGGACGACGCGAGCATGGCCCCTTTTGCGAGCAGCGACGACAGCGACGAGAGCGTTCCCCTCGGCACGAACAAGCAGCGTCAGACGGATAGCCTTGGGCCAGAGAAATTGTAAAAACTCTTAGAGCCCCTTGGGGGCGTGGGGGCCGCCCAAGGCCCTGATAGGGTCCCTAAGATGGCAGTATGCCATATAGGTTTATATGCATATATTATATCTATTATATATATGATATGGTATGATATATATATATATATATATATATATATATATGATATGACATATATATATATATATATACATGTATGATACATATATATATAAATGATATATATATATACATGCATATATGCTAACACTTGTTCCAGCCACTCAGGCCTTGAAAACCTCTTGCCTGTGCTAGTGGGCGCAAGAGGAGAGGTCGTCTTGGGCCCTTCCTTGAGCACTCCAGAGGCCCTCTGAGATAGAACTGGGGGGCCCTGGGGGGCCCTGAGAGGGCCCCCTCTGCGTTGAGGTTTTTTGAGCGCAACTTGGCCTTGAGAGAAACATGCATACGTAGGTCAAGTTTTGCTGCCCAACCTAAGGAGGTCAGCGACGTTGTGGACCTCCTGAGTGACATCGACGACGGTACTGACGACAGTGACTTTCAGCACCCAGCCTTCGATGACGTCAACGTTGGTGATGGCATCCCAGACGACGTAGTGGAACTGTTCTCACCTCCACGCGTCGTCCCTGTTGCCGCCGCAGCAGGCTTGCGGGCCTCGCTCAGTGTCGACATCGAGACTGGGTTTGACCTGCGTCGAGTTGCTGTCCAAAAAGCAGTCATGGCAGAGCTGGAAAGGCGCGATCCGAAGTGCGTGGTCATCAGTCCACCGTGCACGTGGTTCAGCCAGCTGATGAAGCTCTGGAACGAAAAGCGGATGGACCAGGACAAGCGCAGGAAGCTTGAGGCCGATGCCATGACCATGCTTAACTTTTCGATGGCCGTCGCCAAGAGGCAGCAGCAGAAAGGGAAAGCGTTCGTGTTCGAACATCCTCACCGGGCAACCTCCTGGCAGCGCGGGTCTGTGAGGGAGTGCATGGGGCTGAGCGGCGTTCGCACATACCAGTTCGACCTTTGCAGGTATGGGCTTGCAAGCCCTATACACAACATCCCCATGAAGAAGGCAACTACGTTCATGACCAATATGCCATCATTCAGCGCGTTCAGCAATGTGAAGTGCAATTGCACCAAGCAGAGCTGGGACGTTCCAGGTTTCAAGAAGACTATGGTCAAGCACCGCCGCGTGCAGGACAACGAGGGCCCTTTCAAGCTCAGCAAGTTCTGCCAGATCTACCCAGTTCCGCTCGTCAACGAGATGGTCAGGTGCATGCGCATCCACATCGCCTCGCAGCCTTGACCTCAGCGCCAGCCATCCTCCTGCAACAAAGCTCGCGCGATTGGGTTCTGAGCTGCGCCGCCAATTCATTAGTTGATTCGCAGCCTGTGGGGTGCCATGACGCGCAGAGGCGCTGGCTAATTGCTTGCTCGTAGTTGCTCGTGACTCGCCGGCTCAGGCACCCCTAGTCATGCAGGGAAGGGCTTTGCAAAAACAACAGGCGCCATCATCATCAGCATCATCATCATCATCATCATCATCATCATCATCGTCATCCCCCTCCTGCTGCTCCACCACCCCCTCCTCATCCTCCTCCTCCTCCTCCTCTGCGCGCGAGTGAGGGGGGGAGGTGAGGGAGGGGGGGCAACAAGGTGATGAGAGTTCAGTGACGAGGGTCCGAGGGGGGAAGATGGCCAGGGAAAGGGAATGGCGGCGACGACGACGATTGCGCCGACGACGACGACGACGGGGGCAACGTCGACAACATTGACGACGACGTCGACGACGACGACTGGGTCTCTGGAAGCTTCTCGTCGTCACAGCTGGGCCTGCCTCGAAGTTCTGGCCTTTGGTTTGAACGCGATTCGTAGTCCTGGTCAGTCGTCGTCGTCGTCGCTGCCAAGAGCCCCCCCCCCGGTGCGCGCAGGCAGCCGGTGGCGCCTCGCTGGGCAGCCAACTCCTAGAGGCTCACCAGCCGCTGGAGGGCATCAGGACCCCTGGGGGCGGGGCGCGATGGGGATGGCCACGGCGAGGAATGCGAACGTGAGTAGGGACTCGAGGATTGTTAGTGAATGAGGAGCACATACTGAGGAGGTTGATTGGGGCAGCAGGAACGTGGATGGGGTAGAATGAGAGCACGAGCACACATGCAGGAGGAGCGAGCGCCGCAGCATGCGCAGGAAAACACGTGAGGAGCATGAGAAGCATGAGCAGGAACAGCATCAGCAACGAGTAAGAGCAATATCAGGAGCCTGTGATGCCATGGGTCTTGCCTGAACGCATCGTCACTGATGGGAGAGCCCCCCTGGCCCGGCTGGCTGCCCCTAGGACGCATGTCGTCATCAGCGCGCCCCTCTACTCGCGGGACATCTTCGTCTAGCCACCAGTGCTGCCGAGCAGAGGACTGCTGTGGCAAAACTGGTCAAGGGGGAGGGCCAACGGCAGGCTGGACGTTTTAAAACGATACCTCTGCAGAGCCCCCCGCAAAACTACGCGTGGTAACTGAGGAAGATATGCCCTCCAGGGCCTGGAGGGGATGGGGGGGAACTTGCGAAGGGGCCTGGAGGTCCCAAGATGGCCCCCTGGAGGCCGCGAGAATGCCCCACTGCGGACCGATAGTTGACAGAAAGCTGACAGAGGCCATCTTGAGGCCATCTTGGGCCACCTCGGGCTATGTTGGGGCCATCTTGGGCCCCGAGAGGGGCCCCAGAGGTCCCTGGAAGAGCGAAGAAAAATGTTTAAAACGCACGCACAAAACAACACCTTAAGATGATTGTTGTTGGTGTTGTCGTCGTCGTCGTTGTCGTCGTCGTCGTCGTCGTTCCAGGTGGTGGGTCGTGGCGCGGGCGGGTCGCAGCGCAGGCCGCTAGAGTGGCGTGACGTCCCACAGCCACTGATTCAGACAACACCCAAGTGACATGCATTCCCGTGGTTGGGGCCCTCTCGGATCCCCAAGGAGGGCCAGGGCAGGGCGGGAGGGCTCCCGAGGGGCCCCGAGAGGGGGCCAGGAGGGCCCCAAGAGGGCGCTGACAACTTAGCGTGTACGTCGGACCATCTTTGGGGTCCAACCTGATAAATGTTTCGAGCTGCGTTCAGCTGTAGCGACGAGGCCCCCCCCCCCCCCACCACCGCCGCCGCACCACTGCGCACACGCGCCGCCAGAAAACGAGGAGGGGCACGCCCGTGCAGAGAGAGGGGGGGGAGAGATGGGGCCAAACTTCCTCCCCCTGTTCCTCCCCTTCTCCCTCTTGGGGCCTTCCCAGGGCCCTCCTGGGGGGAGGGCTGGATGGCTCCTCAGAAGTCCCTGGCGTCATCCTCATCCCCCCTCGCCCTGAGTTGCTTGCCACGCTCCTAGGACCTCCTCTCATCAGACGCTGAGGCTGCTGGGGGCGCCGGAGCGCGCAGTTATTACAGTCGCTCAATCTCACCTGCGTTTCAAGATCACCAGTACCTGCAAACGTGGTCCAATGGGGCGCAGCAGCAGGTTCAAACACAGCGTGCACCACTTTCGCACCTGGACCCCTTCGATCCAGATGCCCCTGCTGATGCTGAGCGTCTGCTTTCTTCCCCAGGGGGACCTGCTGCTGATGAAGTTGGCAGTGGCCCAGAGGACAGTGGCGACTCCACTCCAGGCGATGGGGGCTGTTCTGATGCTGCTGACTTACTTTCTTCCCGGTCGGATGCCGCGCCAGAGGTCCCTGGTGTTTCGAGCGATGACAAAAGTGGCGATGGTTCAGGCAGCTCGGATTGGGATATGATGGTGGGGACAAGTTCCAGGAAGAAAGCCAATCAGATACGTTTCCCAGCTCTCTCCCTGCAAGAGTTAGTCTCGGGGACCTCCCTGGAAGGGTCCACTGATGTGGACAAGGTGGAAGAGATACGAACCCAACTTGCAGAAATGGACAGGGAATCGGTGACCAATTGGTTGTTCGAGTCGCTCCGCTTACTGCCCCAAGGCAAATGGTTGCTCTGTGGCCACGACGTCCACAGTGCACAACTATGGTCTGCTCTGGTGGGTGTGTCCAAGCACCGAGTACGGAGGCTCCGGAAACATTACGAGAACGGCAACGCACGCCCTCCTACTGATGGGAGGTTTTACAGCACTCGTGAGTACACCGCGCCTGGCGCCGAGATCACTAACACGTTCTTGCACTGGGTGCACGCCCACGTGGCAGAGCCACTGGCCGAAGGGAAGGTGTTGGAAGACAGTGACGAGGAGTCTCGGGCAAACAAATCGCGCGGCTGGCCTGCCCCCTCCTGTCTCCTCCCTGCCCTTCGCCATCCCCCCCTCCACCCCTCCTGTCTCGCTTTCCTCGCTGCCTGCCTGCCTCCCTGCTTTCCTCGCTGCCGGCCTGCCTCCCCTCGCTGCCTACTCTGTGTCCCCTGGGCCCCCCCTGCGCCCGTGGCCTCCGTCGCCAGCTCGATGCCCACCTGCCCCGGCCAGCAGGAGATAGGAGATGACGCTGCTGGCGGGGTGGAGCAAGAGGAGTCGATGTTCCGCGCCTCCTCTGAGCCTGCGCTGCGTGTCTTCGCAGCGCAGACTGTCGACGCACTTGAGCCCCGTTACCTTGCGCAGCAATCGTTCGAGGAATTCGTGACGCTTCGCGTATCCCCACCAGCCCATCCAGAAACGACGCCCGGGCGAGTTGAGGCGATGAGGGAAGTGTAGGAGCGAAGAGGGGGATAGCCGAACCGAGCGAAGGAGGGATGAGGAGAATGAGAACGCTGGATGGATGGATTGATGAGGGAGTTAAGGATGATGAATATGATGAGGAAGAGGAGGATGAGGATGAGGACGAGGAGGAGGAGGATACGAAGGAGGAGGCGGGGGGGGATGATGATGATGAGGAGGAGGAGGAGGAGGAAAGGCGGAGGAGGATGAGTAGGCGGAGAGGTGGAGGTGAATACTGAGGAGGACGAGGACCTGCAGAATAGCCAGAAGCATCTTGGATGTCTTTCGGATGTCTCTTGGACGCCTTTTGGAGGCCTCTTGAAGCGTCTTGGGCCCCTCTTGGGGCCCTCTTGGGGCCGTCTTGGGGCCCTCTTGGGGCCCCACAGACCGCCCCGAAAGGGGCCCTGCCCTCTTGGGCCCCCCCTGGGGTCCTCTTGGGGCCCTCTTGGGCCCCCCCTGGAGTCCTCTTGGGGCCCTCTTGGGGCCCCGAGAGGGCCCCGAGAGGGCTCCAAGAGGGCCCCAAGAGCGGTCACGCGAAACCTTTCTCGCGTGACCGCTCTTGGGTTGGGGCCCTCTTGGAGCCGTCCTGGGGCCCTCTTGGGGCCCTATTGGAGCCCTTTGGGGGCCCTCTTGGGGCTCTCTTAGGCCCCCAAGAGGGCCCCCAGAGGGCTCCAAGAGGGCCCCAAGAGCGGTCACGCGAAACCTTTCTCGCGTGACCGCTCTTGGGGCCCTCTTGGAGCCGTCCTGGGGCCCTCTTGGGGCCCTATTGGAGCCCTTTTGGGGCCCTCTTGGGACCCCAAAGACCGCCCCGAAATGGGCCCTGGCAGAACGACCCTGCCATCTTGAGGCCTCGGATGGCCATCAGAAGCGAGAAGAATGCGAGAATGCAAACATCATTTGTTTTCTTTAAGCTTTTGAAAGGTTTTGGCCTCTTGGAGGCCTCCTTGGGAAGCGATTTGGCTTCTTGGAGCCGTCTTGGGGTGGTCTTGGGGTCTCTCAGAGCATCTTCCTATCTCGATGGAGGTTATCTTGGGCCCTCCGAGGCGCTCCTGGAGCCGCCTGGGGCGAAAAAGTACCCTCTGACACCTCGCCGCGCCTCCCGTCCAGGTCCAGGGAGGGGGTAGGGGGAGGGGTGCACCCTTCCCCGAAGGAGAAGAAGGGGGTTGGAAGAGGAAACTCCCTAGACCACCTACGCTCCACAGGGCTGGTGGGATTCTACAACATGCTGAAGACATGGTGCGCTGATGTAGGCGAGGATGAACCGCCAAGTCGAACGACGATGCAGAGGGCGTTCGGAACCACATGGAACACAAAGATATTGTTCCGGGGCTCAGGGCAGCACAAGAAATGCGACATTTGCACGAAATTAGAGGAGTGGCGACGCTCAGCTGTTACACTTGCAGACAAGAAACGACTTGGAGAAGAGAAAATGAAACACATCAATATGGTGAAACAAGATCGGGCTGTGTACAAACGAAACTCAGTATTGTCTGAGATGTGCACGCGTCCCAACACAGTGGGCACTATTTCTCCAGAAGAAGCTGTACTATGTATTTGTTTGGATGGGATGGATCAATCAAAATTCTGCTGCCCAAGACATCGCGTCTTCCAGAGGTCCAAAGAGTCCGAG